AGATGGGTCTCACTGTGTTGTCCAGGCTGGAGTGCAGTGGCTATTCACTAATGCAGTCATAGCATACTACACCCTCAAACTCCTGGGCCCAAGCAGTTCTGCTGTGGCCTCTCAAGTAGCTGGAACTATAGGCACACACCACGGCACCCTGCTCCCTTTCCCTTTTTTCTCAAATAGTTAAATACTGAGACATAGTCAATAAATCATACATGAGATGCAATAATACTTTGAATTTATGTTGTTTTTGACTGTTCCCAAGGGGTTTTTCTTAGAACACTTAGTCATTAATTTTTCTTCTGACTACATAATAAAGCTACATGGTCATTGTATTTATTTATTTCATGTATTTAGGTTAGCCATACCCTAACCTTTGCTTTGTGTCTCTGCAGAATTTACAAGAGGAAAAGGAAAGGAAGTTGGAATGCCTGCCCCCTGAACCTTCCCCTGATGACCCTGAAAGTGTCAAGATCATCTTCAAATTACCCAATGATTCTCGAGTAGAGAGACGATTCCACTTTTCACAGTCTCTAACAGTAAGGACCACCTAAATTCTGTGAAGTGTATGTAGCATCTGGGCTATAGATTTGGAGCTTTTACTGACTCTTGAGAGTGGTGTTGGAGTATCTGCTACTCTGATGAACAAGGAACAGAGAAAGAGAGAGAGAGAGAGAGATAGGTATGCCATCAGTGGATACCAGGAAGAGTACAGTAGACTGCTGTAGGCCGCTTCAGTTCTGGCTTCCATCTCAAAGCACTTTTTCAGTTTTTGTTTAATCATGTTTGGGCTCTGCTAAGAAAAAAAAAAAAGATACCTTACATAAAAGTCCCACAAGAGACTTACTTGTTTGAAGATGGGAGGGTCTTCCTTCTCTCCTCTTGCACTGGCTTCAGAATCCCACCAGAACCCCTGCTCTGTAGAAAAAGCTCTGTCTCCAGTGACCTCAAAGCACTGGGATGACATATCTGAATATAAGTGCACTTGCAGTTTGGATGCAGTGTCTCTCCCTTTCTACTAACTTAGCCAAAAGAAGCCCAATTTTCTGAGGCCACTTTGTATATGTGATAGTCATGTAATAGTGTTTGTCATTTCCACATGGAAGTCATTAAAAGCAGAAACTCAGAGTCTCACAGCATGAGGATCAAATTTTCATTGTTCCAGGGTTACTAGATGTTTCCTTGGTCAATTTACTTAATTTCTAAGCCTCAATTTCTTTATCTGTACAATGGGTTTAATAATAGGCACTCCCTAGTAGTATTGTTGTTAAGATTAAATTATCAACATTGTGCCTAGCTCCTAGGCACAATGGATTCTGCGGTTTCCCTGATCACTCAGAATAATCAAAGGTAAACCTCATAATTAAAAGAGGATGCACTATAGTCAGGTGAGGCTGGGTAGTACATTCATTGCTTCTGCTTGTTTAACTGGTGAACACTGGGCAAGTTACAAAACTTTCACAGGGCCTCAGATTTCCCATTAGTGAATTGGAACTATAATCTGCCCTCTAAGGAGTTTAAACTGAAGATAGGTATGTCATACACTGAACTAGATACTCTAGGGTTCATTTAGATGAGTGAGACATGGTTTTGGAATTCGTGGAGTTTATTGGCCAGTACAGAATGTAAGACTCAGAGAACTAATACAGAATTAAAGTTACAAGGCATTCTGGTGAGAGAGAAGCAGCTATCTTCCTTGTTTTATTTCTCTCTCGCTTATGCATTTATTTATTTATATTGGGGGAAGTGCTCATGCCTCTTAACTTTGTTTGTTTTGAGACAGAGTTTTGTCTTGTCACCCTGTCTGGAGTGCAGTGGCACTATCTGGGCTCACTGAAACCTCTGCCTCCTGGGTTCAAGCGATTCTTCTGCCTCAGCCTCCCAAGTAACTGGGTTTACAGGTGCCCACCACCATGCCTGGCTAATTTTTTTAATTTTTTAGTAGAGATGAGGTTTCACCATGTTGGTCAGGCTGGTCTAGAACTCATGACCTCAGGTGATTCTTCTTCCTCAGCTTCCCAGAGTGCTGGGATTATAGGCGTGAGCCACTGTACCCAGCCCCATGCCTCTAACTTTGGATTTTTAAATTGAGATAACATGGATGTGCCTCACACAGTACTCACCACGTAGTAGGTAGTTAGAGTTAATTTCCTTCCCCTGGTTTTCTCTGTTTCCTAACTATGGGTTTATATATATATTTTAGCTTTCATGTTCTCTAGTAATTTTACTATTGTATACACAAGCTATGTGGAGTTTCTACCCCAAAAATTCTGATAGATAAAACTATTATTTGAAAAACCTAACCAAAATTTATTCTCCTCAGAGTTTTGGAGGAAAAAATCTGTTGGAATTGTGGAACAGAATAGGCTTGTGGCCAAAAGGGAACCAACCATTCATTAAGTATTTGACCCTTAAAGAATTTTAGATGGTTCCTATTAAAAAAAGAATATTATGACCACCTGAGATTAGTCTAAGAGAAAGGCTTGGTCATAAATGGGGCTTAGAGATGGAAAGAAATGTAGAGAAATAGTACCCTGGTAGTGCTGGCCTGTAATTTAGCATTCACAGATGGCCTGGCACAGTGGCTCACACCTATAATCCCAGTACTTTGGGAGGCCGAGGTGGGCGGATCACCTGAGGTTGGAAGTTCAAGAGCAGCCTGGCCAACATGGTGAAACCCCACCTCCACTAAAAATACAAAAATTAGCTGGGCGTGGTGGCGCGCACCTGTAATCCCAGCTACTCGGGAGACTGAGGCAGGAGAATCGCTTGAACCCAGGAGACAGAGGTTGCAGTGAACAGAGATCGTGCCATTGCACTCCAGCCTGGGCAACAAGAGCGAAATTCCATCTCAAAAAAAAAGACCTTGTGTCATCTTTCTGTGAACTTGGTCCTTCGTAAATAATCTTGAGGAGTGACAGATTTGTGGGCAATGCTTGGCTCTGGAGAGTAGTGAAATGTTAAGATAAAAGGCATACACTACAGAAAAATCTCCAGGTCCCATGAGTGGTTAGAAAAGAGGCAGCTGACTGCTTAAATGAATGTATAGGAGATCCAAAGCCCAGAACTAATTTTTCTGTCCATTACAAACCAAAAGGGACCTCTGGTAGTAATGTAATCTGCTTCCCGATGGTTATCAACCCTTTGTCGTTGGTAAATAAAAAATGCTGGCTGGGTGCAGTGGTTCATGCCTGTAATACCAGCACTTTGGAATGCCAAGGCAGGCAGATCACTTAAGGCCAGGAGTTCGAAACCAACCTGGCCAACATTGTGAAACCACATCTCTACTAACAAAAATTAGCTGGATGTGGTGACGCGCACCTGTGGTGCAGCTACTCCAGAAGTCTGAGACATGAGAATGGCTTGACCCTGTGAGACAGAGGTTGCAGTGCAGATCTTGCTACTGCATTCCAGCCTGGTCGACAGAGTGAGACTCCATCCAAAAAAAAAAAAAAAAAAAGCCAAGTTTGTACCAGCGTTAGGTATTCTCAAGAAGTGATTAAAAAGGAATCAGAAAGTAATTTTTTGGCCAGGCGCAATGGCTCACGTCTGTAATCCCAGCACTTTGGGAGGCCAGGGTAGTCATGAATCACCTGAGGTCAGGAGTTTGAGACCAGCCTGATGAAACTGTGTCTCTACAAGAAAATACAAAAATAAGCCGGGCATGGTGGTGTGCACCTGTAATCCCAGCTACTAGGGAGGCTGAGGTAGGAAAATCGGTTGAACCCGGGAGGCATAGGTTGCAATGAGCCGAGATCATGCCACTGCACTCCAACCTGGGCAACAGAGCACGACTCTGTCTTTAAAAAAAAGAAAAAGTATTTTTTTTCACTCTTAAATAAAACCCATATAGTTTCATACCAGGAATAGTTGGTGTTAGTCTAATTGATGCATCTTGAGAAAAGAAAGTGTGAACATTAATGGAAATTGCAAAAAGAGAAGGAAACTGAAAATGAGTGAGGTTGATAGACTAAAATATGAGAAGTTTATAAAATCATGAATGGATTAGATGAGAGGAACATGGATTTACTATTTAAACTCTGGAATTATAGCCCTTTAAAAATCTCTAAAGAGGGCAACATGGCAAGACTGTCTCTACAAAAAATTTTTAAAAATAACCAGGTATTCTGGCCGGGCGCGGTGGCTCACGCCTGTAATCCCAGCACTTTGGGAGGCCGAGGCGGGTGGATCACGAGGTCAAGAGATCGAGACCATCCTGGTCAACACGGTGAAACCCCGTCTCTACTAAAGCTACAAAAAATTAGCTGGGCATGGTGGCGCATGCCTGTAATCCCAGCTACTCAGGAGGCTGAGGCAGGAGAATTGCCTGAACCCAGGAGGCGGAGATTGCGGTGAGCCGAGATCGTGCCATTGCACTCCAGCCTGGGTAACAAGAGCGAAACTCTGTCTAAAAAAAAATAAATAAAATAACCAGGTATGGTGTTGTACACATGTGATCCCACTTTCTTGGGAAGCTGAGGCAAGAGGATTGCTTGAACCTGGGAGGTCGAGGAGCTGCAGTGAGTCGTGTGTTTGCACCACTGCACTCCAGCCTGGGCGACACAGCGAGACCTGCCTCAAAAAAAAAAAAAAAATTCCCTAATGAGGTAAGTTTAAGAAATAAAGGAAGGACTGCTTCACACAGAGGGGTATAAAACCCAGAGAATTCATCGTTCTGAGAGGTGTAACAAAAAGCAAATAGGAACAGATTCCTCCCAAAAACGAAAAATAACTTGAATGGCATGTTTCTCATCTTTGGGGTTGATCTGAAAAAGGTTGGCAGAATTGTTAGAAGTAGAATGCTAGATGGAGATGGCCACAGAGCAGAGACAGGGAAAGACGACAGTGGCCTGTTCCACAGGCATTTCACACACTTAGCATCGTGGACTCTCCTGATACTGCCTCCTTCTCAGTAAGGATTTTATCTGTGGCTTTCAGAGTCAGAGCAGGGCGAGGAGAGCATTCCCACAGAGATGAGATTCATATCTTGAATTCATGTCAGATCTTGATCATGTGAAACAGTGTCCACACGTGGGGGCATGTGCAGGAAAGCCAGAGCCCAACTGGCCCAAGGTGGGATGTGAAAGCCAGAATGGGGTAAGGAGTCTGTGTATAAGAAGGTAGGGTTTTATGTGGGGAGGGGAATGATTTTTATATGCATATTTTTTTTGTAGATGCAGATGCAGATTCGGGGACACACAAATACATGTACACATGCTCTCTTGCTCTGTCCATAGAGAATGCCTAGGAGTAGCAACTCCTCAATAGCAGAAGAACCAGGACTCCTTGGAGAAATGGCTGATTCTGGGGCTGAGGGAGGGAAAATAAAAGGTCAGACCAGGCACAGTGGCTTGCACCTATAATCCCTTCACTTTGGGAAGCCAAGGCAGGAAGACCCTGTGAGCCCAGCAGTTAGAGACGAGCGTGGGCAGCATAGGGAGATGCTGCACCCACCCCCCAACCCCACCTCGTCTCTACAAAATACACAAAAAGAACCTGGAACACTTTGTGCCAGAAAGCAAGGAATTGTTCAGAGAATGATGGGGACATGTCAGGAAGGCACAGAAGCCTGGCACATTCAGGCTGACTCCATCTGGCACAGTTTGAACATTAAATAACGATAGTAACATTATAACCTATTGAGTAAATAGGAAATCACGAATGTATGTTGATTTAAATAAATACATTTGAAAGTTTGAAGAACAGACCAGCTTCATAGTTCCAAAGTACCTCCCCACAAAATACTGACCAGTTACAAAGCGGAAACTAACTTACAGTGAAAAGACCTGGCAGGTAGCACCATAGACAAGTGACCAAAGTGAACATCATAGGTAATGGAACAAATTGAAACTGTGCTCCTGAATAGGATGTATTGAGTAGAATGCAGCAGCATTTATCTAATATTCCTGCCAAAGACACACAACCAGAGTCTAATTGTGAGTAAACACCAGAGAAATACATTGAAAGACTTTGCAGAATAACCAACTGGCAATGTTTTAACATTTCAAGGTCATGAAAATCAAGGAAAGACTGAGGATTTGTTCCACACTTAAGAGATTCAACAGATCAGTGCAACACATTTATTGATTGATTGTATTTTTTTTGTCTGTAGGTTATTGGGGTACAGGTGGTGTTTGGTTACATGAGTAAGTTCTTAGTGGTGATTTATGAGATTTTGGTGCACCCATCACTCAGGTAGTATGCATTGCACCCTATTTGTAGTCTTTTATCCTTCACTCCCTCCCACTCTTCCCCTCAAAGTCCATTGTATCATTCTTATGCCTTTGCGTTCTCATAGCTTAGCTCCCACATATCAGTGAGAACATACGATGGTTGATTTTCCATTCCTAGTTACTTCACTGAGAATAAGTCTCCAATCTCATCCAGGTCACTGCAAATGCCGTTAATTCATTCCTTTTTATGGCTAAGAAGTATTCCATCATATATTTATATATATATATATATATATATATATATATATATACACACACACACACCACAGTTTCTTTATACACACATTGTTTGATGGGCTTAAAACTGGATCCTTTTGCTATTATATAAAAGATAATTGGCAAAACTTTGGGGCCTAAATAGTAAGATAATGTATTACAGAAATAACGTGTGAGTTACATTTCCTGACTTTGAGGGTAAAGTTGTGCTTATACAGAAGATTGTCCTGTGATTCTGTGATCATCTCAGAATACTTGAGGACATGTGTCTTACAGTTGGCACTTTACTCGCAGCTGATTTAAAGAAAAACTTTTCTGTAACTTTGTGATTATTTCTAAGTTTTGTAGCATTTTATTAGACACGTCAAAGAAGAAACAGATTAATTCAGAGTAGGACTAGTGTTGGGCTTGTGTAATTTCTTTTAAAAGGGCTGGCCCATGTATATACCATGGGAAATGAAAAGATCTAGAATTACAATGTAATGTGATTCTTTCATATAGAGTCATCCTGGGGAGAATTAGGGGATATTTGACTTCATAGTTTGTGTGTGTGTGTGTGTGTGTGTGTGTGTGTCTTTCATATAGAGTTATTCTGGGGAGAATTGGGGAATATTTGACTTTATAGTTGTGTGTGTGTGTGTGTGTGTGTGTGTGTGTGTGTGTTTCATCCTGGGTAGAGTTGGGGGATATATGACTTCATAGGGGTGTGTGGGTGTGTGTGTTTCTTTTTTTCTCACCACCATTCTTTTTTCTGTGTGCCCTTTCTGCAGGTAATCCATGACTTCTTATTTTCCTTGAAGGAAAGCCCTGAAAAGTTTCAGATTGAAGCCAATTTTCCCAGGCGAGTGCTGCCCTGCATCCCTTCAGAGGAGTGGCCCAATCCCCCTACGCTACAGGAGGCCGGACTCAGCCACACAGAAGTTCTTTTTGTTCAGGACCTAACTGACGAATGACATTTTTTCTTCTTCTCCCCTCCTACCCCAGTCCCTAAAAGATATGGGGAAAAAAGAAAAAAAACAGCAACAACAAAACAGAAAAAAAACAAACAGAAAAAAAAGAGAGAGAAATTCCTATTATTATTATAATACAATATTTTTTTTAAAAAACTGCTGCATCCTTAGGAAGGATCAGAAACCATGCTGCCCACAAGAGTCACAACCTGTGTGTGCGCGCGCAAGGTTAACAATGAAAGTGCCCACTCAGCAAGTCCACCCTTCCTATGGCCTCTGCACACGCATCTTCCAGGAAACAGACTCTCTTCACCTTCAGCCCATCCATTGTCCCATCTGGGAAGGGGACATTCCCACTAGTTCTCATTCATTCTTGCTTTTATGGAAAATAAAAGTGAAAAATCTCCATCAACCAGCTACTTGCAGCATCTCCTGAGGACTTGCTTCTCCTACCTCTGGGGAAGAGAGGGAAGAGAAAGCACAGAGCAGAGAAGCAGAGATGTTCCTTGAACTGCCCGTAATTTTTCAATAGCTTTGTTTCTGTTTTGTAATGACCAAAGGAATGAGGCTGACATAGGTGTATTTTTTTTTCTCTATTCGATAAAGAGCCAATTCTTTAAACCCATGAGTTTATGCCCCAGGCTCCTTTAGCCCACAATAGTGTAATAAAAGTGCCCCGGGCTGGTTTGTGCTTATTTCTGCCATTGTCCCTCTCATGTTCCCAGAGAGGTAATTCTTTTTGGTCCAACTCTTGCTGTCCTTTCTTACCACCTGTGCATCCCACTTGGAGCAGTGGAAGGAAATCTGGGTTTGTGGCCCCATAGTGGCTTTTTGTAAAGATACACACAACTGCAGCTTTTCCTTGGAGTCTGTACCAGGTGGTGGTTATGGGATCTAAACCAAAGGATAGCAGCTCTTCATTCCTCTTCAGACATGTGCATGCTGCTCCTCCCAGCCCTGGGCTTTCCTGAATTGCCAAGCCTGGTGCCTTTGCAAAGGACTAGCAGGGCCTGTGGTGGAGCCAGCAGAACCACCGGAGAGTACCCTGCCTGTCTCAGTGGAAGTGTATTACTGTTTTAAGGATAGAAAGAACCAGAGGCCTTGAAGGGAGCCAAGACAGAACTCCCAGCCTGTGTAAACTATTGGAAGGCACATTTTCGTTTCTGATGCAGCCACCTTCTGGAGGCAGCTTTTATCCTTTCTCTCTATTGCTGTGTTGAAGTAATAGGGTTTTTTTTAACCTCTGGATGTCTCGTCTGTGGTTGAGTTTATGGTAATGGGTACATGGGTCAAGCCATGTATTAACAGATGCCGTTGTGCTCTGACAAGTATTCCAAAGTGTTCTGTAGCTAGACTGGCGCAGGCTCGTTGTACCACTGCAACTGACTGACGTTACTGTAGTTCCTGGCATGCTGTGAGGATGGGGGTTCAGATCAACAGAAAGTGTAACTTGTTAGAGTTGTAGTCTCCAAAGGCTTTCTCTCTTGCTTAACTAAAACCTAAGGACCACTGTTTTTGGTAGCAGTTCTATGGTTACTATCCTCTGCAGTCCTTAGTTGTTGGGGTAAAGCCCATGTGGCAGAGTAAGGGACCCCACAAAAATTAACCTGGAGAGCCTGAGAAATTTTCAGTGGCCTTGGCACAGCTGTCTAGAACACCATCTCTAGGAAAATTTAGTTCTGTCCCTGGCTCTCTGTTCTTTCTTTTCTGCTGTCCCAAGGCCACATAAACGGGAATTACCATCTGACTTGTCAATAAAACATATCTGCAGTGAACAGCAGGATAACCCATGTTTTCCATCTAAGGCTGACTTTATGTGAAATCTGCTTCCTGCTGACAACCATGCAGAGGAATTTTTCCACTTAACTCAGAGCCTCCCTCCCTGTCTGGAATTCACAGCTGTTCCCTGGTAGCACACAGGAGAGTATTAAGGTCATTTGTGAGGCTAGGTACACTCTATAGGTATCTCATCCACACCTCTTTGCGGAAGTTAGGACTTTTTTTCCATGATAATTCAGTCTCATCTTACTCCACAATGTGCACTTTATGCCTCTTGCCTTTTGAGAACAGTTGTTCAGTGAAGGAAGTCAGCTGCCCCAATGTTAAGAAGGGTCTCCCTTTATGTGAGTGCAACTGTTGGGGTGGCCTACCCATTTACCTTAGGTTTCAAGAGGCTTCACTGGAAGGACATGCCCCTGTCTAGTCCCATGTGAAACAGTTCTGCTTTACTGAGACCCTAGGCCTGTCTCCTTGGTGACCCTAGTGCTCCTGCGTAGGTGCCATTTTCTTTCCTCCTGAGTCAGATACGGGCTGCACATTTTGTCAATGCCGGTACAATCTGTGTCACTCCCAAGGACTTTTGGAAGTTTGATGGGACCTGCGAAGGAGAAAACACTCAGAAGCCGGCGATCTGCACGCATTTGCTCTTGTTTCCACATCACTTCTGGGATATTTCAGCTGTTGTTTCCAAAGGGCAAGTCAACTAAAAACACTTGTTTCGAGTTTTGCACTCCCAAGATGCAGCTGAATAACCATGGAAGTGACCAAGCAAAGACACCTGACTGGAGTCAGTTGAATATTTGTACCCTCAGTGGGCCCCTTCTGGTCTTTTCTTCCACTTCTGCAGAATTTCCTGCAGCAAATATTAATTTCTCCTTGCTTGTCTCCACCATTATATTTGAGTAAGAGATGGCCAGAGGGTAATACTTATCTCTTTGAAAAACTAAGCTAAAAAGAACCTAGAACCTTCAACTGAGCATTTGTGAAAATTGCTAATGGTGCCAAGGCCAAGCAAAGAGTTTCAGAAAATGAGAAGGAGTGATAACCCCCAGAATGCAAAATCAGGGGCATCATCATCTGGTGCTCCACTCTACAACTGGTTTTTCAGGACTTGTGAGGAACGCAGCAACGGAAATCCATCCACAAAGGATGCAGTGCCCCAACTTGTACTGCACCAGAATAGTTATGTGATAATTTACTGAAGAAATCTAGTGTACTTCAAATTTTTTTCATAAAAGTTTACATTGTATTGTAGGTTAACATTAAATGTTTTATAACAAAAATTTCATAACAGGCTGTGGGTCTTTCTGTGTAGGACAGATGTGGTAGATAATTTTCTGCGTGTGAAGGAGAGGTTGAAAACCACCGGAAGGGAACAGCATGGCGTGGCGTTGCCAAGAAGGAAGGGAGAATCAGAAGGACGGAGTTAGGTCTTCTCTGTTGTATCCCTGTGGAAAAATAGCAACTTAGTATGATGGAGGGAGAAAGCAGACAGGGACAAAGCAGAAATTTGGGCTCTCTGGTTTGTCAGCTCTGCAACCTCAGGGAAATTCTGTAGCTTCCCTGAACTTGAATTTCCCCAACTATAAATGAAGATAATGCCATCCACCGCAGGTTTATAGATTAAATCAAATGTATATGAAGCTCCTGATATGTAGATGTCATTAAGTGTTTGTTCCCCTTCTATTGGAGTGTCTTTTAAGAATATTTTCTTGCAAGAATAACTTTTCTTTCTTTTTTTTTTTTTTTT